ATGAGGGGCTGATGGCTGTTTTCAGGCTGCCCGCACCCCCTTAAGGGTGGGGGTCCCCACTGGGGTGCCTGGCCAGCCTGGATGAGGGGCTGAGGGCTGTTTTCAGGCTGGCCAAGCCTGCAACTGAAGCTCCCAGTCTCTCCTTTTTTTTCTTTTTTCTTTTATTCTGGGATTTATTTACCTTCTGTAATTGAAACTTTGTTGCGGCTCCAGCTCCGAGGCCGGCTGGCTGAAAGCAGGTATTTGGGGTTTGTTTAGCTTCTATAATTGAAACATTGTTGCTTAGAGTGTAGGTTAGAGCCTGGCCGAGGCAGGCGGGGAACTTGGCTTCCTCCATCGCCGGGGCAACCAAGCCTCATGTTCGCTTCAGCTGTGTGGCTGCCGGTCACCATCTTGGTTGGCAGTTAATTTGCATATCACCCTGATTAGCCAATGGGAAGCGTAGCGGAGGTATGGTTAATTACCATGTTTGTCTATTATTAGATAGGATGTTTAGCATAGAGCCTAAAATGCAGAAGTTGCTCAATAGTTGATTACATAGGCATTTGGACCTTGGGAGTAGAGCTTCTGGGTCATAGATCCAGATTCTATTGAGTCAGTAAGTAATGACTGAGCCTGCTTAAGTACCAGGCACTGTGTTAGTGCTAGAGGTGCAATGATTGATTATGACAATAGTCACTGCCTCTCACCTTCCAGAGACAGTGACTATTGAATACAATTATGTAAATAAGTGACAACGTGATAGAGGCCTTAGCAGTCCAGTCAAGTAATGATAAGGACTTGAACTAAAGAAGGGATGTGGTGACAGAAAGAAGGCAATTAATTTGAGATTGTAGAGTCACCAAGACTTGATGTGAGGATGAAGGCTGAGCTCTGGCCTGGAAGTCATGCACAGAATAGAGGAGGCAGTTGAAGTCTTGCCAGTGACTGACTTCACTGAGAAAGGAACACAATAGAAAGAGACCTCATTTGAGGACAGAGCCCTAGTTAAGAGACAGGAGGATAATTAATGTTGCAAATATACATTTACATAAAACACATTGTGCTATAAAGATTTCCTGTACTAAATTTGTATTCCTGCACTTATTAAACTAACAGGTTGGTGTGTGTTTTTTCTCTTCCCATTCATGAAGGACAGACCCCAAGATATATGCACAAGCTGACTAGTTTCTTACAAAAGGAATAGTCTTTTTAATTTCAAAGCAAATTGAGATTAACTGGCTCAGCTTCTTAATGTAACAAAATTCAACCACTTAAAGTGTGCAATTCAATGGTTTTTCATATGTTGTATTATATTTTTTAAGTTTAATAAAATACTTATCACAGAAAATTTGCCATTTTAACCATTTTTAAGTTTATGTTCAAGTGGCATTAAGTATATTCACAATGCTGTGCAATCACCACCACTATCTATTTTCAAAGTTATTTCATCACCCCAAACAGAGACTCTGTGCCCATTAAACAGTAGCTCCTCATTCCCTGCCTTCCTCCCTGGGTAACTTCTATTCTACTTTTTGTCTCTGTGTATTGAATTTGCCTATTTTAAGGTACCCCATATAAATGGAATCATGCCATATTTGTTTTTTGTGTCTGGCTTATTTAATTTAGCATACTGTTTTCACAGTTCATCTATGTTATAGCATTTATCAGTTACTTCATTTGTGTGATTGAACAATATTTCATTATATAGGTATATCACATTTTTAAAAATTCATTTATTGATCTATGGACATATTTTTTTCCATCTTTAGGCTATTGTGAATAATGCTGCTATGAACATGGATGTGCAAGTATCTGTTTGAGTTGCTGCTTTTAATTCCTGTGGGAATATACCGAGGAGTAGAACAGCTGGGTCATACAGTAACTTTATATTAAGCCCCTTAATGTTATAGACAGATTTACTCCAGGACCTGCAGAAGGGTCATCTTGCTTTATAACTTTTTCACCAGTGTTACAGTTCATTTTCTCAAAGGGAAATGCCTTATTCATGGTTATTCAGTATGGTCAGATGACTACCTGCAGTGCCTGTTAAAACATACATGGTTGCATTCAACCACTGATCTATAGACTCAGAATTTCTGGGGGTTTGGCCAGGAACCTGCATTTATTTACCCATTCATTCATTCATTTATTTAAATATGTTTTTAATTTTTGAGAAGAAGTGAGGACTACCTGCAGCTGTTAAAACATACATGGTTGCATTCAACCACTGATCTATAGACTCAGAATTTCTGGGGGTTTGGCCAGGAACCTGCATTATTTTACCCATTCATTCATTCATTTATTTAAATATGTTTTTAATTTTTGAGAAGAAGTGAGG